CCCCGCCACCAACTGACTCTTCTGCAGACCCTTCCTTACATGTGCATGGTGGAGAATGCCTGCAGCTTGGATGTGCTCCATTCCTCCCATTTTGTTCCACATGGCAGGGCCTTCTGTTCACACCTGACAGTCAGTGCTAACAAAGGGCACCCGCTGAACCCAGTCGCCCTTCCTTCCGCATCCCCAGGACTGACTGAGGCCAGCTGAATGGGAGTTTTCTGCAGGCCCTGGACCCTGACCGCACCACTCCTCTTCACTTAGCTGACTCACTTCTCAGAATACTTTATAAAATTTAAAAAACCAGGGGCACCTGGGTGGCTCAGGTGGTTAAGCATCTGACTTCAGCTCAGGTCATGATCTCACGGTCCATGAGTTCGAGCCCTGCATCGGGCTCTGTGCTGACAGCTCAGAGCCTGGAACTGCTTCAGATTCTGTGTCTCCCTCTCTTTCTGCCCCTCCCCTTCTCATGTTCTGTCTCTCTCTGTCTCAAAAATAAATAAAAACATTAAAAAAAATTTTTTTTATTTAAAAAACCAATAAGGACTTCTTTTTTTTTTAACGTTTATTTATTTTTGAGACAGAGAGAGACAGAGCATGAATGGGGGAGGGTCAGAGAGAGGGAGACACAGAATCTGAAACAGGCTCCAGGCTCTGAGCTGTCATCACAGAGCCCGACGGGGGGCTTGAACTCACAGACCATGAAATCATGACCTGAGCCGAAGTCGGCCACTGAACTGACTGAGCCACCCAGGCACCCCAGGACTTCTAAAGTAAGTCCATGGCTAGGGCTAGGCAGAGCTCTTAGCAGTGGTCCCTATTTTAAAAGGATATGGGAGGTGCATGGGTGGTTCAGTCGGCTAAGGGGCCGAGTCTTGACTTCAGCTCAGGTCACAATCTCACAGTTCGTGGGTTCAGACCCTGCATCAGGCTCTGTGCTGGCAGCTCAGAGCCTGCTTGGGATTCTCTCTCTCTCTGCCTCTCAATCTGTTCCTCTCTGGCTTGTGTTCTCTCTCTCTCTCTCAAAATAAATAAACAAACTTTACAAAATAAAAATAAAAAAATGAAAGGACATGGGATGGCCACCTTGTTGAGAGAGAAGATTCGTGGCACTCTTCTAAAAGCTGTCTCGCACAGCACTTTAAAGAAGATTGAGAAAGCATCAATGAGATGAATCAGAGAACTGGGGATAGCGTCTCCTGGAGAGGGGGAGCTTGGAAAGGCAGCACACTGGAATGGCCGGTGCCCCACCCAGGTCCCCTCGACCAGTCTGCACTCCTCTTGGAGAACTGCCCTCAGGCTATTCATACCTCCTCTGCTCACTGGGGCAAAAAAGAGAGGCCAGCAAGTGTGGGAGTTTACATCACTACAGGATGGTCCACAGCTCCTGACTGCCTGGCTGGGAACCAGAAAGCCCAGCTCCCTGTCTTGCAGCAGGACAACCATGAGGTGCAATTAAATTGCAGTCCAGGGCTCCCCATGGGATCGAACCAAAGCTGGAACTTGGCCTGAAAGTGTCCCTTTGCTTGGTTGTTTCCCCTTTCCTGTCCTGCTCCTCCACTCCCCTACGTGTGTCCCCCAGGAGCCCATCCTTAATAAATTACCTGCAGGGTGCCTGGGTGGCTCAGTCAGTTAAGCATTCGACTTTGGCTCAGGTCATGATCTCATGCTCCTGAGTTCGAGCCCCGTATCAGGCTCTGTGCTGACAGCTCAGAGCCTGGAGTCTGCTTCAGATTCTGTGTCTCCCTCTCTATCTGCCCTCTCCCTGCTCACTCTCTGCCTCTCTCTGTCTCTCTCTCTCTCTCTCTCTCAAAAATAAATAAACATTAAAAAAAATTTTAAATCACCTCCCTGAGAATCCTCACCCCAAAGTCAGCTTCTGGGGGACCCATCCCAAGAGAGGCAGCGGCCAAGGCCAACTGGATGGGACTGAGCCTGGGCCTGGGCTAGGAGACAAGACACCCAGCATGTAGGAATTGTCACCCACAGGGTCAGGTCTCCATGAATAAAGGGCATGTGCTGTTGCATGCTGGAGAATATGAGGCTGAGACTATGGGACATGCCCCCTCCCGCCTCCCCTCCTCCTCAACCAGGGGCAGGTCTCTGCTGGCACATCCTCCAAATGATGAAAAGGAGCCCAGATGACCATCAGGCCTACCACCAAAACCCACCAAGGAGATGGCATTCTAGAACCAGCCCCCCTAGGGTCCCCTGGGGTGGACATCACAAAATGCCAAACACCTATGAGGTTCTCAACATCATTGCCAGGGCATTGTGGCCACTACAGGGACCTCCAGGTCAGCTCAGGATTGGGGCAAGACAGAGAGCCCAAGAAAATGGCTGGAGAGAGTTGAGTCAGTCATTACTCACCCACTATGCATGAAGGACTGGGTAGGCACGGGGGATACCACAGTGAAGAAGACCAGACACAGTCCCTGCTCAGAGTCCCTGTGGGGAACCGAGATCAAAAAGCAATATGACTTGATAAGGGCTATGCTGGGAAAGACTGTGGGATCAAGGAAGGTCTCCTGGAGGAAGCAGCATCCACACTGAGCCTTGGGAGTTTGCAGGAGTTCCCCAGGCAAAGAGGGGAAGGAGGCCAGGCCAGGGAGCAGCATGAACAAGGCCTGCAAGCTGGAGAGGCCTGGGAGGGGAAGAGATGAATAACAAGGGCTGAGCAGGCAGGGGTGACAGCCTTAAGGGCCTTGTGGGCTGGGGGACGGGGCTAGGACTTTGTCCAGGGGCTGTGCAGACACACTGAGAGATTGAAGCTGGGGAATGACACGACCAGATCTGCAGTTTTTGAGAATTCCTCCTGGCTGCCGTAAGGAGAAGGCAGTGGAGAAAGCGAGGCCAGGGTGAAGAGGCTGCTGTATCATCCCAAGAGGTGGCCTGGACCAGGAGATGCACAGGGATGGAACAAAGGGGACCAGTCGCAGTTATTTGGGAAGTAAAATAGATAAGACATGAGAACTGATTTTTCTCATCATTGCGGTGGACAAGCCTTTAGGAATCTCTGCAAGCTTCTCGTGGCCTCAGAAGTTGGGGCTCATATCTCCTTACCCTCTCCCCACCTAGACGCCACTCCTCTCTCCCAAGACTGAGGAGGGGGAAAGTAAGGGGAGGTAAGGGGGAGGGCTTTCCAGCAGCTGTAATTCTGGTCCTCACCAGCAGGTGGCAGACCAAGACAGAAAGGGGAAGAGCAGCAAGGTTACCTCTGCCCACCCAGTTTGGCGAAAGGCGCTCCGCTTAATAGACAGGATGCCTGGGATTTACCAATGGGCAGTGAATTTACTATTACACTAATAGCAGCATAAGAGCAGCACCCAACCCCTTTAGGAATTGCTGCTGTAGGCTCTGTGGAGAGGTTTATATGAATTACCTCATTTCATCCTCACAGC